TTTCTGACCTCACCCTTTTAAACTTTAAAATTGGGAATACTCAGTGGAGAGACCAAACTGTTCACAAAAAACAAGATTCACATTTGAAAATTTTCAAGATTTTTATTAACACTCCGCAGTGCGCAATATTTAACTCCATATTATTGTACGTCATTTCTCAACTATTGACAATACAGAGAACAGAGAATATGATGTATTTGTATAATTGTTACGACTTTTTTTTTTTTTTTAAAGTGTTACTAAACCCACAACAATAAAATCAGTCTGTATATGCAGTACTGCTTGTTAAACTCACTGCGGAACCTAAGGGTTAATTCTCTGCATTGTGTAAAAAGGCTGTTTGATCCTGACTTCTCTGATCCTCCCCTTCTTCCAGTGTCCCCCACTTATCTTCTGATAAGAAATATTGTGTGGCGTCACTCTGCACATGCTCAGTTTGGTGGGTATTGCTAGAGAGTTTTTTTTTTTCCTTGGGAAAGTGCATGTGATCAGCACAGGGCCAATCAGCACTGTCCAGACAGAGGTCAGGTGTTTTTGCTTTCTCCTAGAGCAGAATGAAAACTCATCCTACAAGCTGTAACCAGTACTCTGTTGAACACTGATATAAGTCACAAGAATTCTCTAACTGCTGATGAGAAAAGGTATTCAGCAGTTTATATTTACTGAAATAATTGCATTTCCATGTTTTGTGTACTGTGGGAGACCAGATATAGTGAATGCAGGTCATAGGAGACCAAATATAGTGAATGAAGGTCCTGGGTTTAGTAACAAAGGGTGGATTTGATTTAAATCAAGTTGAATTAAATCAATAGTGAAAAAGCTCAATTTAAATAATAATTTTCAAAGAGCAACTGTCATCTCTGTCCCACAGCGGCTCCTCCTCTGACCCGCTGTTGACTCACTTTAATGGGACGGCTGGTGAGGTGGCAGTGACACAACAAGGTGAGGGATGTGGTGGCAGCAGGTGAGTGGATGCCCGCTAACACTCGCTGCCATGATGGATCAAAAATGACAGGTGCTCTTCAAATGTAAGGACTCCAACTCATTCTTGCTGGTAGTTACAATCTTTAATATTTGCAAACCAAGTGAAGGTTTCCTTTTTCGAATATTAAGCTGTCAGGTTAGTAAAACCGCAATATCAGCACCGATTTTAGGTTTATAGGTTAATCACACATAGCTGGAGAACGACTCAAATTTTTATTTCATGTTTTTTCTCATGGTTACTGTGAAAATGTGTGAATGCATCAATGCAGTGCATGTGATCTCATCTTGGATTCCTTGAATGAGTTTACCAAAAATGTAAATATTGCAGAATATACAACCTCATCCTACATATCTAAGCTCCATTCCATGCTGAATAAACTAAATGATTAATGTATCTTAAATAGAAAACTATCTTTAGGTAGATTTTTACTCGAAAAACATTTTTTATTAACCGCCTCCCACCCACCATATAGTAAAATGACGGACGCAAGGCGGTTCTCTCGTTCTGGGAAGACGTCATATGACATCCTCCCATTCTAACCGCGCATGCGCGGCTCCCAGAGCGCGCAGCACGGCGATCAGCGGTGCGCTGTGTCCCTCGGACACAGCAGATCACCGATCCACACAAAGAGCCGAAGATGTCGGCTCGGTCATGTGATCAGCTGTGTCCAATCACAGCTGATCACATGTAAACAGGGAAATGCCAGTTATCGGCATTTCTCTCCCCATGAGCTGTCACGCTGAGAGCTTGTGAGGAGAGCTGGTAATCGACATTCCTCGGAGGGGACATGTACACTGATCATCAGAGCACTGATGATCTGTGTAGCCCCAGCAGTGCCACCTGTCAGTGTCCATCAGTGCCAGCTCAGTGCTCATCCATGCCAACTGCCAGTGCCACATTTCAGTGCCACATCAATGCCACATATCAGTGCCCATCTGAGCTGCCTTTCAGTGTCACCCATCAGTGCTGCCAATCAGTGCCAGTCAGTTCCGCCTATCAGTGTGCATCAGTGCCGCCTATCAGTGCCCGTCAGTACTACCTATCAGTTCCGCCTAACAGTGCCAGTCAGTGTGCTGCCTATCAGTGCCATATATGAGTGCTGCCTTTCAGTGCCAGTCAGTTCCGTCTATCAGTGTGCATCAGTGCCGCCTATCAGTGCCCGTCAGTACTGCCTATCAGTTCCGCCTAACAGTGCCAGTCAGTGCCACCTAACAGTGCCAGTCAGTGCTGCCTATCAGTGCCATATATGAGTGCTGCCTTTCAGTGCCCATCAGTGATGCCTCATCAGTGTCCATCAGTGATGCCTCATCAGTGTCCATCAGTGCAGCCTCATTAGCGCACATCAGTGAAGGAGAAAAATCACTTATTTACAAAATTTTATAACAAAAACTAAGATAATTTTTTTTTTTTTTTTCCAGAATTTTCTGTGGTTTTTGGTTTAAGACAAAATAAACCCCAAGGTGATTAAATACCACCAAAATAAAGCTCTATCTGTCACAAAACAATTATAAAAATGTCATATGGGTACAGTGTTGCATGACCGTGCAATTGCCATTCAAAGTGCAACAGCGCTGAAAGCTGGAAATTGGTCTGGGCAGGAGGGGGTTAGTGGTTAAAATAAATTTGAAAAAAATCAGATTTAAATTAAAAAAAAAAATCAGATTTTTTTTTTTTTTTAATCATCGATTTTTATCCACCCAGCTTCAAGAGCTCGCTCACATTCCAGTTTAAATGGCCGCAAAATCTTGTAGTTGAGTCGTGTCTTTACCGCCCCCTTTTTGCTACAGATACCACATCGGAAATTCTATCTCCTCTCTCAGCAGGAGTAGGCCCATTGAGTGCAACATGTTCAAGTAAATGGGGGGCCACTCTGCAAGCGCCCTGCAACTGTGTGCTATGCATGTGGTTGTGGCGTGCTAGTGTGGGGTTCAATGGATTAAAATAGGTGGTGAGCAGGTAATAAAACTCCTCCTTGCCACCTGTCAAATGCTTTCTGAAGAGTGATCTGACCGCAGATCTTGCTTCAGAGACTAAAGCAAGTGTGAATGAGCACTCCAGTAAATTTATTAAAAAAGAAAAATCCCGCTGTGACTTATGCAGTGGCTGTTGGCAGTATCCTGCTTCTAGAGCTTTCATGTTCTGTGTTGAGGTTTCCCCCTTTTTCGCACAAACTGAGATTTCCTGAATGATATCACAATTGACTGAGAGTATTTTTTCCACTTTAACCAAGTCCGCTAGCTTAATCCTTTCCTGATTTGATACTTGTATGGAGGTTTTAGATCACATTATAATTACAGTTTTCCATAAACATTAATTATTCTGTGAGATAATCAGACCTACGGCTAATTTGGTATTAATGTTGGTTTTACATCTTTATCTTGTTTGGTAATCTTCCCATTTTCTACTGGCAGCATAACACATGGGGGATGATTAACTTCATGCAGAAGTGTCCTCTTTCAGCTTGGTTACAAGGAAAATGTCCTGTCTGACTAAACAGGATTTTGTTTTAGACCATGGAGATGTCGAAATCACTAAATTTACTAGTGTAGTACTTCAATATTTACCTGCCTTGCACAAGTGCACACATTTGAATCAAAGAATATGTAAACCCAACATATATTCTTGATATGTGCCTGATGCACCATGTACTTGTATGAAAACGTATCCTGTTCTCTTCTATTGCTTCATTTGTGTGAAATCCCTGGTGTTCCTGCCAGTCCTGCTTTCCTGTTAAAAACTGACCACACTAAGCATGAGAGCAGAGCATGGTCAGTTTTCTGTCTGTGCTTGGAGCTAATCCAGTGATCAGACTGATGCTGACACGCCCCCTCCCCTGCACTGCCATTCACTGGGAAGATCAGTGTAATGCGGTGTCTTTCTCCAGCTCTCTGAGCTCCTTAGGCAGCTAAGAAAAGAGGGTATGTGATTACATATTTAAAGAAAAGAAACAAAATTACATTTATGTTTTATATCTGTACATAAATGTTTTCCTTTCATTTCTATTTTAAACTGAATGGGTTCACATATGCATTAAGGTAAAGCTATAAAAAGAGAAAGTTAAATTCCAAATTGTCACAAAGATAGGAAGACACAGACAGAGGTTCCTATAAGGAATGAAGAGAAATCCCTTCATTGGGGTCAAACACTGCAGTAAAATGGCCACAGTGCCAATGATGGGGCACAATTCCTCCCAATTATGCTAGTGATGGGGCACAGTTATTCCCAATGATGGGGCACAGTTATTCCCAATGATGTCAATGATGGGGCACAATTTCTCCCAATGAGGGGGCACAATTCCTCCCAATGACGCCAATGAGGGGGCACAGTCCCTCCCAATGACGCCAATGAAGGGGCACAGTCCCTCCCAGTGACACCACCGAGGGGGCACAGTCCCTCCCAGTGACACCACCGAGGGGGCACAGTCCCTCCCAGTGACACCACCGAGGGGGCACAGTCCCTCCCAGTGATGTCGGGATCTTTTCTGTTTCCAATGGTTACAGTCTGGCCCCCCTAAAGTTTAGATAGCCTGTTGAATCCTGCTGTAGACCTTTTATGGGTCTGTGTAGTGAGGCTGGAGATCATCACTGACAGTCCCATACAAACCTTTGGGGTTGTAGTGTGGAAGAGCAGCCAGGACAGTGAAGACTTGTGGCAGTGGATGAACCCAGAGTGCAACAACCATACAGCCATCTAGTCAATAGAAGTATGCTTCTGTGGAGGGGTAATCAGGGGAACAAGGCAAAAGGGCTGAGTCTATGTGGATTTAAAGTGCACTTGTCCTTTAATTCCCCTCCTGATGTTAAATTTACCTCCATGCTGTTGGAGGGTAAGTTGCGTTACACCATTGCATTGCAAAGTGATGTTTTTATGTATAGAATAAACTGGCATTCCATTTTACACACTTGAATAGTTAAATCTTGCTTTACTCTCATGTCATCATTTCATTATTTCCTGCATTACAAGGCACTCTTGCTTTGTGTACAGTAACCAAAGTTTTCTTATGCTTTTGTTACAGATTTGCGCTAATATTTTTAGAACTCTACCGCCGAGCGACAATCCAGACTTTGATCCCGAGGAGGATGAGCCGACACTAGAAGCATCTTGGCCTCACATACAGGTGAGCTTTAGGCAGCTATTCATGTGCAGGAACCATGCTGTTTGTTTTTCGTTCAGTTCACATTTTATTCTTCTTCTGTTTAGTAACAAAAGATGATTTCAGTTCTGGTTTCTCATGAGACGGGAAGTTGATTGGTGTTTTCTTTTTTTTATTATGAATTAGCAGGCTGGTCAACACATGAACCTTTGACTTGAGTGCACATAGCTTTTTCTGTTCTGCTTGGCCTTGTCTTTAGTGGCCGTTAAATGCAGAACTGTTTTTGAGAAGACCTGCAGTGTCATGCTGTAGGCCCTTTTAATTTTGTCTTTTTGTCCTGTCTTGTCTTATTTTAAAATTACACACGCCACTTTTAAAAGTCTAATAAGCGACTATAAGAATAAAATGGTGCCACCCAGAAGTGCCCACACATGTCCTTAAATGTCTCCCTGGGTGCTTCAATCTTCTGACATTCCCCAACACTTCCTCCCTACATCACAAGGCCACCCATCATACTGTTGGGTCATTGGGGGAGGTACAGATGATGGAAAGAAGTGGGCTATCTCAGGACCAAACCAGAAAGTGGTGGTAATGTTTGAATTCATTTATTAGTTTCCCATGTTCTGGGGCTCCTGTGTAGATGTCTGGGGGCATTTGCAAGCAAATCACAGTGTCTGTTTAAAGATTGTTTGAAAGGGTTTTTTTTAATTACTTTTTTTTTTGGACTGAGAACCTAAACCAAATAATATATTGCAGCTTAGCCAGTACAGGAGATATCAAATGATCCTGCCAGAAATGCAGTGTCCTTGTAACTTTCTGTAAGATTAACAAAAAGCACAAAGAACCTTATCTTTTCTCTTTAAAGTTCCAGTTCCAGTTGCACTGTGAAAAAATGTCAGCAGCTACAAATACTGTAGCTGCTGACTTTTAAAAACCGCCACTCACCTGTCCCACAATCTCAGTGTCCTTCCCGCAGCCCGTTTCATCACTCGTCTGGTTTTCCAGGCGCCGGCATCTTCAGTGTGGGCACCTGGCTGTGACAGCTTGCGGCTGTGCTTCCTGAATGGCCCCGTAGTCTTCTGGGACCTGTCACGTTTTCCAGAAGACTACAGGGTGGGTGGGTAGGAGGGCAACTTCTGCTTCCGATCGCCTAGGCGATTGCAGAGGAAGTGGGAGCGTGTACCTGTCAATTTCGGGTACCCACTCCCCAAAGGTGCCAATCCTTAATGGGGAGCAGGGGACTTGTCTTTAAAGCGGAACTTCCCCTTCTGGGTAGAGCTCCACTTTAAACTAAACCCACCAGACCCTATGTAATGGAGATGAACAAAGGCAGGTATGTATGAAGTCAATAGGTACAGTGGAGGAGTAAATGTAGCCACTCAGGGACAAAGCATGTGTTTTTCTCAGAATTAGCAGGTGAAAATAAATTGAAGACTTGCCTACAAAAAATGTGTATATAAAGTTTTTGGTTTTAGATATGCTTTGAATTTTATTTAATTATTTTACTTTTAGCCAGCCTATTAACCACTTCCCCGCCGCCCTATAGTAGAACTACTGCTACAGGGCGGTGCAAAATAACGTGTGTGGTATACATACGTGATTTGCATTTACGGGTAGGGAGAGCTCACACGTCAACATCTCCGCACCGCCATTGGTGGCTAGGCATGTCAATCACCGGGCTCCAGCCGGAGATTCCCCACCAGCACCCGGTGATTGCCATGCAAAGCTGACAGTAAGAGACCTGTGTGTAAACAACACAGGTCTCTCTCCTAGGTGCCAGGACACGCTGTTTTGTATTTCTATGCACAGCAGAGAAGTACAAAACCGCATGGCTCCAAGGTAAAACAGCACACACAGTAAAACACACACATAACACAGTTACCCTTTGCAGGCCCAAAGTTAACCCCTTCCTGCCCAGTGTCATTAGTACAGTGTCATTGCTTTTTATTAACACTGATCACTGTATTAGTGTCACTGGGGATGTCAGTGACAGTCAGTTCCCACCCAGTGTCAGAATGCCCGCTATAAGTCGCTGATTGCCGTCATTACTAGTATAAAAAAGTAACATTCCACAATATACCGCCATTTGTAGACACTAACTTTCATGTAAACCAATCAATTTACACGTATTGGGATTTTTTTTTTTTTTTTGCAAAGATATGTAGCAGAATATGTTTTGGCCTAAATTTATGACTAAATTTGATTTTTTTTTTTTTTTTTTAATTTTTTTTGTTTAATTGCAAAAAGTAAAAAATACCGTCTTGGGTTTTTTTCACAATTGTCGGTCTTTTTTTTTGTTTATAGGGCAAAAAAAGTAAAAACTACAGAGGTGATCAAATACCACCAAAAGAAAGCTCTACGTGTGAGGGGGAAAAGGAGGACATAAATTTCCTTTGTGTACAGCGTTGCATGGCTGCGCAATTGTCAGTTAAAATAATGCACCACTGTATTGCAAAAAATGGCCTGGTTAGGAATGGGGGTAAATTCTCCGTAGGGCAAGTGGTTAATGTGCAGTGTATTTTTAATTTGCACTGCAATCTAGTACAGCTGTTTTCAACCAGGGTGCCTTGGCAAAATGCCTAAAAATTGCCCCAGAATATACAAGCCAGTGAGTGGATAATGCCTGCCTTTTAGTTACACAGAGCCACAGGTCTTCATTGTGAAGTATAAAAATCTTTTAGCAGCTGCTGCCTTCCTAACAATCAATGACATTATCTGATAAGTCGGTACCATTGTGCAAACGTATAATTGCTTTGAAAGCGTAAATCCTCTCTAATGTTGGGTGTCCTACCTGTGTGGATGTTGCTGTGTTATGTAAAACTATTTGTTCAGTTTTTTTTTTTACATTTTAGAATGGGGTGCCTTGAGATAAAGTTTGAAGCATTTACTCAGAAACAGAGCTGTAATATAATATTGCGCAAAAACGAATAAGATTCCAAAGGAATTGGACTGTTGACTGAAGATGTGGAATGCCTGTGAATCATGTACATTGAAATTATGGGTGATAATAGATAAAATATTTTTCGCTCTATAAGACACACCTGATCATAAGATGCACCTACGTTTTAGAAGAGGAAAACAAGAAGAAAAAAATATTCTGAACCAAGACTACAGACCTAGTACAGGAGATGATCAGAGACTACAGACCTAGTACAGGAGATGACCAGAGACTGCGGACATAGTACAGGAGATGACCAGAGACTGCGGACATAGTACAGGAGATGACCAGAGACTGCGGACATAGTACAGGAGATGACCAGAGACTGCGGACGTAGTACAGGAGATGACCAGAGACTGCGGACGTAGCACAGGAGATGACCAGAGACTGCGGACGTAGCACAGGAGATGACCAGAGACTGCGGACGTAGCACAGGAGATGACCAGAGACTGCGGACGTAGCACAGGAGATGACCAGAGACTGCGGACGTAGCACAGGAGATGACCAGAGACTGCGGACGTGGCAGAGGAGATGACCAGAGACTGCGGACGTGGCAGAGGAGATGAACAGAGACTGCGGACGTAGCAGAGGAGATGAACAGAGACTGCGGACGTAGCACAGGAAATGACCAGAGACTGCGGACGTAGCACAGGAAATGACCAGAGACTGCGGACGTAGCACAGGAAATGACCAGAGACTGCGGACGTAGCACAGGAAATGACCAGAGACTGCGGACGTAGCACAGGAAATGACCAGAGACTGCGGACGTAGCACAGGAAATGACCAGAGACTGCGGACGTAGCACAGGGGATGACCAGAGACTGCGGACGTAGCACAGGGGATGACCAGAGACTGTGGACGTAGCACAGGGGATGACCAGAGACTGCGGACGTAGCACAGGGGATGACCAGAGACTGCGGACGTAGCACAGGGGATGACCAGAGACTGCGGACGTAGCATAGGAGATGAGCAGAGTTCTTTCAGCAATGCACAGATGTACAGTTTGTGAAAAACAGCTCAGGGTTTGGTATAACAGTCTACAAGCAGTCTATGGGGGGAAGGACATACCTGGCCAGGCGTGCTGAGCATCCTCTCTGAGGTCCGGGGGCGGGGCTCCCACTCACATCACAACTTCTACTACAGAAGCTCCCTCTCGAGCATACAGGCTGCATGGGGTGGGGTCAGTGGAGCTTCTGGACCTGGCCCCACCCTCTCTCTGCTTTCTGGCCCCGTATTCTAACACTGCAACGGAAAGAGGGGGGGGGGGGTGTCCTGGTCAATATTCGCTTCATAAGACGCACAGACATTTCCCTCCTTTTTTTTTTGGGGGGGGGGGGGGGGGGGGTGCGTCTTATGGAGCGAAAAATACGGTAGGTCTGCTTGCTGTATGGTGTTTGGAATCTTTGCACTTTTGCTCTTCAGGAAATATGTTTGTCACAGAATTCGAGAAAGTACGTGTGTTGTTTACAAAACTTCAAGATCACTCAGAGTAACAGGAGAACACTAGAATTAATGAAGTTCAATGTAGAAATGAATATATGATTTTTTGTGTTGGCTATAAATACATTTTAGCACAACCTCTAAATGTGTTTTAATATTTAATGCTGAACTCCAGCCTTACCTTCAGTCTTCTACAGTTGTACAAGCTTGTTTCCTGTACTGAAATTACTCTGATTTCACTGCACTCTGTGAGCTTCTTACAGTGTGCATTAGAAGCTGAAGCAAGTCAGAGCCCACCTTATTTCCTGGCTGGAGGATGTTCAGAATCATTTTGCTTTTTCCCGCCAGCCTTACTCCTGTTAAGGGGGTTAGGAGTTCCTATTATGGCAGATGTTCAGGATGCCTAAACATGACTGCATACCAGTGGGCAGTAGATATATCATGTAATCAACACTTGGCAACAAGACTGGTGAGACACGCTCACAATTTTCCCATAAAAATGTAATGTGAGGAGGGTAGTGATGGAGTGTGGGGCTGTTCCTTATGCTGGCCATACACATATCAATGTTCAGACCAGAATATTTATACAAACATTCTTTGTACATTCAATGAATGAGTATCGTTTGAAAATATCACTTTCTTTTAACATTCAATTTTAAAATGATTGTAATTTCTGAATGAAAACTGCATATGCGGCCAAAAAATTTGTTCATTCCAGAAAGGTTTTCTATTCTGCTCCTAC